CAAAGGTGATAAACAGATTTCAGTTTGGTCTTGATCTGATTAACAAATGGAAAGCTAAGTAACAACAAAAGAAAATCAATATTTCATTCCAGTTCCATGGCTTACACAACTTTTTACAGCGACTTATGACAGCAAAGAAATAGCACATTATAATGGCAGCCTGCATAATGCTAATGTAATGGCTGTTCAATGAGTGCCAATGACTCTAAGCATTGTTAGAAGGCTGTCAGACATTAGATTGATCTCGGGCCAGATTTAAGAGCCTGTGGTATTGGCAGTGTTGAATAATTTTTTGATCAACACAACAGGGTGTGTTTACACCTTAGCCTAATGAACATGACCTGCTTGTTAAGAAGGCATGGGAAAAGGGGATTATTAGCCAAGGCGAAGGTACATTCAGGTGAATGAAAATTCACAGCGGAGAGCCAATCCACTTGCCTGCCCTAGGTTTTACCTAGCTTCAACTTAGTTTTACCACGCTTCAACTTACCCTCCATTGGCGGCCATCTTGGACAGCGCCCTCAAGAGATTCATATGACAGTCCTCATTCTTCATGGTACTCAGCAGCCTGCAGACAGTTCCCAGGCCACCTGCCTCATTCACAGCACACTGGTTTCTGCAGCAATAAGGCAGAAGTTGATAACTTTTAAGGGTGATTTTCTGCCCATATGTAAGAAAAAAAAGCTCCTCTGAAGAAACATTCTGAGAAAACAACTTCGTTTACTACATCATCTCATTTATTATTCACTACTTACAATTTAGAAGCAAGGACCCCATAACCACAGTCCTTTTTTTCATTTCCACCCAGTTTAGAATTCAGAGACGAATTTCTGTGTGCAATTTTGCTATAGCCATTATCGTTTACATGTGGACTTGAAGTGGACTTGTCAAAGGGCTGTGGCGGTACGGTAGCTCAGTCTTCTTAAGAACGTTACATACTCCATCCACAAGGTATCTAAGCTCAAGTCAAGCCACAAGCTATTGAAATGAACTATGATCAGGAGCAGTGGTTTGTCATCTTTAATATTCCCGATGACTTGAGGCAAGACTTTGTGGTTTGATTTGACGGATTTATCGCAACTCTTTCCTACAAATAAATGCCAGAGTAGTTCATCGATTCTGCACAATTATTCTCAACCACTGATTCTCTTTCTGATAAGGAAACCAAGGATTTCCTGAGGAGCTCGTAAGAAAGACAACCCTCACTTTCCTGCAAGCTTGAGGAAAGCGGTTCGGAGAAGAAAATGAACAGCTACTCGGTTTTAAGTGTGGAATGAATACCCTGAACAAATATTCCAGGACGCCAGTACCGGTAGGGACCAAAACAAAATCCACACGTCTACATAGATGGGATTCGAACCCAGGCCACAGTGGTGGAAGGCATGGAAAGAACACCAGTGCTAGCCTGACTTTTTAGTTCATGTGGAGGGGGGTAGAAGATTCAATTAAAATGCAAGCTTTCTTACTTGCTGTTGTCCGCAACGAGGGCTGCCAATGCAGCACTGGCCTGATTCAGTATGTCGACGGTGGCCGGTGTTTCAAGGATACGGCACAAGGCGTTGATGCCACCATATTCACGGATGCTCCTGATGGAACATTGATAAGATTCAAACAAAAGAAGATTCTAAAGATGAACTGCGCAGACTTAAGAGATGTGCCATGAATGCAATGAAAGAAAACAGACGGCTACGTCAAGGCTAATGTTACAATTAATGCCTAAAAACGACAACACTGCCATCTGAACTGTGCAATGTGCATACCACCTAACCCCCAAGTTCAGCATCGCCATTTCGTTCATTGTTTTTGTCCACAAAATTATGAACTTGAAAAACGGTATGGTGATACCTCTGATGCCATGGAAACATTTTTCTAATAGTGTGCTCCAATCTTGTGTATGTAACAGTTTTGTACAGTGCAATCTGCCTGTTATTCATCAGGCTGGTGTTTACAGGAGCGATCTCCGAAAGTGGCCCCTTTTCTTTGGATACTCATTCACGTGTAATGGTGTCTGAATCACGATTTCCTGTTATTCCTCACCTCTGATTACCCGAGGAAAGCATTAAAATGTAGGATATGTACTCCTGAAGACTGACATCCTCTGTCTGTCAAGCGGAGAGAAAACGAAGGAAAATTATTAGTGACCAAACAAACCTACATGCCCAAATCGAACAGAAGGAAACAAAGAATTTCCAACCCAACCAAGTGATTAAACTGATTCTAAAAACGTTGTTCATGTGACACTGACTGTGGCAAGAGAGTTGAGTTGTTGACTGGCGTTAAAAACACTTGTAAAGATTAATCGTACGTGCAGTATTGGTTAAATTGGAAAGCTGGACTCTGGCAAACGTAACAGAAATTGTCAAGAGACCAAGCCGGCAACATCAACTTGTAACAGCCACTCAAAGTAGCTCTGAAAGCACCCGTCACGAGGTCAAAGAGGTCAAGTAGGGTCATATAGAATGCAAAGGTCACACATCCGGCAGGACAACTACCACCGACATCGTTGAAAACACAGGGTAAATCACCTTGTTATCACTAGTCTGTACACTGTAACTTTGACCTTGCACTGAGTAGGGAAAGTTTAGATGTCATGTGGCTGGCCGATGCTGGTAGCCAATGGCGCAAGAGGGTCTGGGGTTAAGAGGGCCTCGGGTATTGATGGCCGCCTAATTGCTAATTCGGGCGGTCAGATCACAGTCTTGTGCAGGGACACGCATGCAGGAACAATGCGACTGTATAATCTGCTTTTGACATGTTTGCTGGACAGCACACCCTTTACAGGATCTTGGCCAATTTATCTTTGGTTTGACTTTCCAAACTAACAGGAAGCAGAGTTACAATTAGCCTGAACCTGACAAATCCAGTCATTTGTCTAATGTGGGACCATTAACAAAAAAATATCAGTTTCTGATCGGCACTTGTGGCCCTGACATGATTTTTCTGACAGATCATTAACAAGGAACGGATATTAATATTTGATTTTCGGAGAGACGAGCAATGATAACCAGGCACTGATTTCTGCTCTATCTCTGTCTTTCCTATCTCATCTAAGAAGACCACTTCTGAGATACAGATCTTAATTTAGTCTAGAGTGACCTATTTCCACCTGCTTGATATTCAGAGGGGGGGCAACGAATCAGGGATATTGACTTTTGATTGATCTCGGTGGCTCCTGTCCCTAGATTGAGAAACCATAACAACGGATATCAGCTTCTTATCTGTCTCCGCTGCATCTCGGATTCTAAAAGACAACCAATGAGAAAAGGGCAATCATTTCTGATAAGCCAATACTGTCTCAGTCTACAGCGACACCCCCGGCCAGAATTAGGTCCAGGTCATTACCAGTTTGTAACGACAGCGTATGCTGGGAGCATGCTCGACAACTGCTCCAGCAGTTGTACGCACTTGTACCTGGAAGCACATTTTCAACACGCCCCCTTATTTTGCAGAGAGGTCACAGTGGTTAAAATAATAGTCTAACCTTCAGTAGCAATTCGCAAAGTTCCTTCAAACCTCCACACCGGCACATCATCTCGCAGTTTCTGTAAAAATTGGGATTTACAAAGACAACAATGAAATTATGCCCACGAGAAATTCACACAAGGCAAAGCTCGTGGGCTTCTTTCAAAATGTGTGAATGGCCGGCAAAAGCATTTGTAAAACAATGGAGTTTAATGAAAGAATGCAAATGAGATATGGCTGGCTGTGGTTTGAAACGGCCGGGATAACAGTCTGGCCAGTTTCAGTTTTGGACATTACTTTATCTGAGACTTAAAAGTGAGAAGTTTTTGCACAAGGCTGCCAACTGAATTTTGTTTACATTTAATTTTAATTTAAGTGTCTAAATATATGGGTTAACAATGGGAAAAAGATCACTGGAATAAAAAAAAATTCAATTTTCCTTTTTGTAATCTTTGCTCCTTTGTGACAATTTGAACGGAAACCAACAAGAAGACTTCATTTCCTCCACTCATTCCAACGGAGACATCCCTAACTAGCACACCGCCCACCTCGGTTGAGCAACTCAGAACAGCCAATGAGCTTTCGAGATTTTTGACACGGAGGTCTGCTGAATGTGCAGCGACCAGACTTACTTGGCACTCTTGAAGCAAACTAAGGCAAGGCTGGCCGCCAGGCTCTCTGTGGCCCGCTTACACCGTCCGGAAGCAACAAGACGACACAGAGGGGTGACATCCACTTCAGTTGAGCATTCAGATTGGCTGGTACAGATAAGAGACTTAACAAGTGACTACAAAAGTGGTGGACCTTGACAGGCATAAATTCTGACATGTTTCTAGTACAAATGGTGGAGAGTTACACAAAGTGCAAAGCAGAAATTTTCAACTAACCAATTCCCAGTTACTTAAATTTCTTTTGAAAAAGACGAGAGAAGATTGAGGTTTTAACAATCCACAGTAAACTGGAACAGATCCTGGACAATGTTTGAATTCTGAGCAATAGGTTACTTCATACCTTAATGTCGTTATCAGCTCATTAATTTGGGAAGCTACTTCAAGCTGGTCGTATTCATTCTGTAACATGAAGACAAAAACTATCATCAGGCAGCTCCTTCATGTACAGCGAGAGATGCTCAGGTGTACCGAGTAAAAAAAAATGGTTTCCTTTCTGCGACTTCATGGGTACGTTCGAGTGGTTACTCCTGTTAACACGAGTAGGGTGCATGCGCATTACACTCGGGTTACAGGAGTATACTCTCGCTGACCCTCGGGTCGTACTGTGTGATGTCTAGGAGGGGGTATGTGCTGGACACTAAGAGCCACTTGGGGGCGCTGTTCACTAAAGTTATGTACGTTTAGAGTTGTGTAAGTTGTATGCCCTCAAAAAAATTGCATAGATGTGTATTTGCACATATGTTTATGTGTATTTTCCAAAACTTACAGAGTGCTCTTGTGCATAGTTTGCTGTCTGCTGCATGTGATGCGTTCTCACATTTGGTACCCTAGAAGTTGTGATGACTCGCCAAACAGAGTGGTGTGGTACATGAAATCATTCTAGGGTTGTTTTTTTTAGACAACACTTAATTAATTCTAGTCCTCTGATTGGCCCCCCTAAACCACATGTCCCTGAATCAGTCGGTCTATCAAGGGGCAACTGGTTGATGGAATGCTTGGCAATTTGCCATTATCAGCAGTGCTACCTTGTAGCTCTACACACTAAAAAGGGAAGATATTAACAAATTTATACAAAACATTCTTCCTTCTTAGAGATGAAGAAACTTTGGACTCGTATGTGATGCCGAAGATTTTGAAAGAAAGTCACAAATCCAAATTTTCGAGCATTTGATCCGTCACCAATCATCAAAGTTACAATGGCAATCACGGACGTGCATTACTTGTCACATAATTTATGCGGAGTAACATTTTGAGGGCTTATCCACAACTTGTCTGATACCTTTGTGAGGTACAGCTGCAGGCAGAGATGGGACAGCATGTTACCGATCTCCGTCGACAGCGGCGGCTCAGTAGCGTCATCTACTGCAGCCGTCGGGAACATGTTCTGTGAATACACATAGGCAATACATTCAGTTGAAAATTATTGGAATTGGATTGTGTGAGTCAGAGTTTAGGCCACACAGCTTTAATACCAACAGAAACCATCTGAAAATTATGACCTCAATAACCAACACTTCAATTAAAGTAATTCCGTTGTCATTCAACGTCACCTTTCTCTGTAACATTCAAACTAACATTTTTCAAGAATGCACAGTAAAAAAATTAAAAATGGGACAGATTTTTCTTGTCCTTTCAACTTCTGGAAGGCAACAGTTTGATGTAACAGTGGACTCATTCTCAGTCGGCAAACCCATTTAATCAAGCCTTTAATGCAAAAATTTGTTAAGCATGAAAAATGCCTGCTAAATAAAACCAGATTACCAGCTGAACTGCTTGCTTAGAAGACAAAATTTGATAATCAGAATTTCCTGCCAAGTGGCTCTGTTTCTGAACAAAGACTGGCAGGGCTTACCTGTAGGAAGGCTTCGTTGCCCACAGCATGCCCAGCATGCACCAGCTCCTGACCAATCACAACGTCTCGCTCGCTGCTGGTATCATACAACTCAATCTCATAGGCTGAGGATCCAACTTGCCTGGATTCAGACTCTGACCCTACCTCAGATATGATCTTTGAATTAAAAAAAGAAATTTAGAATCATTGATTTACAGATATTTGGTATGTGATACCAAAAGGGGACTTAATTTGTGATGATGATGTAGTTTTCCAAAATTAGATGTCCATACCTGGCTTTAACTAAAACAGGGTATCAGAGATGCCTTAGTTTTATGCATTTGCAAGTGCTTATTGAGAATTTCACATGAAAATCATGAGAATTGTTGACAAGTTATCACACCACTTTCAATAATAACAGAGGGCGAACAACAAAAAAGGATGTCTCTCTTACAGCTCAAATGACCTGCTGGTTTAAATTGAGAAATAAAAATTGAATTATATACTTATATGATTATAACTACAGACTTATCAGTACTCAACAACACTGAAATTTGAATACTTTTGCATAAAAAGTGAAGGTGTCCAAAAATGGCCTGCACAGTTTTGACTGTTGCCCAGTCACCCCGCTGGCTATTAACAGGAGGCACACAGCAAAGGCTGTGGACACTTCTGTGTTCATGCTTTTTAATTTGCATTTCCTTACCAATTCTTACAAAAAGATTGATCCTTGTGACTTTTATTCCTTGTTCAGTGATTTACTTGTCTATCATTTTACTAATTATTAACAGACTGAATAAATTTTTTCTCTTTCAATTTTAGTCCTCCGTTTTTAACAACTACCTGCCGGGCGAACCGTTTTCGGGTACATAGGCTTTATATGCAGAGCTGGGGAGCCCAGAATTGGGACAAAAGAGTTGGGCTTTATAACAAAAGACCGTGCTCAGCACAAAAGACTGAGCAGCTGGGCATTACCGACATTTTTTCCCTCCCAATAGTGGATATAATCCAGCCTTGTTTTGAAACAGTATACCACGGTTTGGTGCATTTAGAGTGAGCAGATTACCACCGGGGACAAAAGCTCTCCACCACCATAGCAATGAGCCACGCAGCACTGCTGCACGCTAATCTGGCCCCTATTGAAAAGAGGTCAGCAGTGCACAGTGCCGGTTTCGCAAACAAAAGAATCTTACGTAACACCGCACAATCTGGGCTCTTTTTCCAAGGCTGCAGGCCTGACTGAAATATTCAGGAGTCAATGAATTTTACCTGTCAGCTTTAGAGTAGTGCCCAAACAGTCCTTCATTTTGGTATAAACATTAAATGAAATGATGAATTTTTGAAGAATTTTGAAAACGGAAAATCTTGAAAATGACCCGGCATCTTGTCTTGCTAAAGAAAAATCCACCCGGCAGCAAGTGATTAATGTCTTGGCTCCTATTTTGAATCAATGCCCCGTTTGTCAAATCTCACGAAGCTGTTCAAGGACTGCTTACTTTTGCCATCAGCAACTTCTTGTTGTCGCCCTCCAGACACATATCCCACAATGCATCGCCAGCGGCATCGCTCCACGGGTCCTGTGTCGGGGAGATGTTGGTGAGACTACACTGGATGGCTTGGAACGGAAGCTGACGGAAAGTTGAACAGAACACAATGAACAAAGCAACCCAAACATTCCAAAATGCCGTGGTTGCATGCACGGAATTCTCTGCTCCACTTAATAGTCGCAGGACTGGCCTGTAGGCCCTACTCTGGTCTAGTAACTAGCACTGACTTAATATTACAACTAAGTAATGAAGCATCAGAATTCATGTTGATCAGAACTTCGCTGAGCCATGCACAAGCTAGTACGAATTCAGCTTTTCCAAAATAAAAAACCTCGAAGGGATATGTCTAAATGGTAACACAAACCTTGTGATATAACTGTGGTATTTTCATAAGCCCTCAGATTGCCATATTGGCGGATAATTTGGATAATTTGAACCTGGTTAGCAGAGTTGAGACACTAGGCTCCAAGTTCCAATAATTAGTTTTGATTATTACACTGGGAAGCGTTGAATGGAGCTATTGATGAGCAGCCTACCATGAGGATGTTGTTCCACGCAGGGTGTAGCCAGTCCTTAGCAACCTCTTCCCTGTCTCCATAGTCCAAGTAGAATATTTCGTACCGGTCATCTCCGAGAACGTCTATAATTTGCACTCTATTCCATCTGCCAAAATAAGATTAAATTCAGTCATGGACTCTACTCATAACCGAAGATAATGTAGCGTGTCTCCTGGCAATGATGCTGAGTGTTAACGATGGAACATTTTCTGATAGGATCAAACAACACTCAGTTTTGCTATTTAGAATATCCAAGAGTACCAGTGGCAATGCGCAGGAGAGTAGTTTCATATTTAGCTAGGTGTGCTGTATTTCTGGTCCTCATGTCTGAGAAAACACAAGACTTCTGCACCAGCAATGTACAGTAAGGAGCAAAACTGAATCTTGCCAACAGATGTTTTGAAAACTTAAAAACCAGGCAAAGTCAACATGAATATCATGGAACAGAAAACATGGCCAGACCAACGTATACTTTCCAAAGATTTATGAACTATTGGTATGTGTAATGTACCATAGTCCTCATCATAGATGTTAGCAGAGTGCAAGATGACCTACCTATTATCCTCATGGAATTTGGCCAAGCACACTTCCCCAACTCTAGGATGCCAGTCTTGTGGCAGAGGGGGAGCTTTCTTATCTGATAGTTTGGCATTTATTTCCTCCATCAGTTTGTCCAGCCTGTAAATACGTAAGAGAGGTCAAAAGTTACTGACACAAAAACTACACCATAATCTGTTGTGTCTAAAGAATCATCATCATAATTCCAAGATAACAATTTATTCCTCAGAGGATCGACAGCTCATTAATGTTCACTAATACAGGATGACAGCCCACAATTACAAATGAGTAATAAATCTCCAGCTCTGTGTACCTCTCAGAAAACTTGGTGAGCTGTAAATACAGACATCCTGGGGTATGCACGGAAGACACGTATACAAGGTAGTAGTCATCGGAAGGAGAGAGGTAGATAGGATCGGGAAGGAGCATGGGCTGGCTCCTACAAACAAGAAAATAGAACAAGTTGAAAATGTCAAATCTTTGACAAAATATTTGGAGGAAAAGCCCAGTTTTGGCTACTGCTTCACAGCAGTATGTGTTCCTGTCACACACCATAAGAACCAACAGATATAACAGTCATGTATATGGACATTTTTGGACCGAAAGATTAAATTCTAATCAACTTCAAGCAAATTAAAAGGGGGGGGGTAATACATGCACACGTAAGCTGTCTGTGTCACACAATCCACAATACCCACAGGTTTATTTATTAACCAAAAACTTTTTTGTTTGGAACCTCCCCAAATCCTCTGAAATCCACAACTGTGCAAGAAGATGATAGAAGTAAAGTATCCTTAGTGAGTACTTCCCCAGCACATATAAAGAAATAAACACCCTTTTTGTGTTTCTTAAATTTTTTTGACAATATGGATCATTCTATAAATTCGAGGTTCAATTTTTTTCCTGTCCCTGCTACATCTGTCATATGATTTGTAATGTTTAGAGCTTACAGTTTAATTTGCTAGACTGAATAAGTACTAAAAATTACCTGCCAACAAATAACAATAATCTGAAGTCAATTTCAGTGTTACATGACCCTTGTCAGCCATGTCAGATGGTATATACGTGTCAGAGGTAACAGTGACGGAAAAATGTCACACCTTCTTTGGACCCCAAGTTTATAGAATGACCCATATGCAACTCTGTGCACCTCCAAGATCAACTGCCTAAACTCCATTTCCTCCAAATAAAAGATCTCAGTGCACAGCTTAATTAAAATACACAATGTGATTGAGATCTTCTCTGCACTACTAACGTTGACAAACAAGACCTCATGAAAAGCATGTTGAAATTACATTTAATTAATTCTGGGTTAATCCGACAAAAAAAGGGAATCCTGGCAATACTCAATTGTGACCCAATCGATGATTACATTTACTGTCTTCTCAGATTCAAGCCAAGGATTTTGACCACGTGGAGACTACAGTGCCTTAATTAAATCCTGTCATCGGGGTTCCTGCACCTAAAGGACAATTAAATTCTGCGAGTTTTCCATGACCAAATTATGACAATCCATGACCTAACAATGCAAATTCTTGGACTATTTGGACTTTTAAAGTTGCTAATAAAAATCAGGCATTTCATGCACTTATTTCTGATGATAGGAATCACACACAAATTCCATGACTTTCAGTCATTTATACAAAATTCCATGAATTTTCCAGGCCTGGAAAACGAAAATAAATTTCCCTGACTTTTTCATGCCTTTTCCAGGTCGCGGGAACCTTTTGTCGTAAAAATATCTGATAGAGGTCATATGCTTATAGGGACAATCAAGTCCATTAAGAAAAGAAAGCTGAAGATAATGCACTGGAGGGCCACTTATCAAGAAGACAGATTATTAGCAGAACAATACACAGACAACGGGTACATGTGGCAGTGATCTGTGTAGTCTCTTAATGTACACTGACCTTCAGACCTCAAACAATCTAAAGTGCCTTGCTCTCGTACACAACTGCTCTGTCTGTCCGCAGAGCTAGAGGACACTGATTAATCATTAGTGCTTAGTACGGGCACTCTCACCCGTTTTGGGCAAAGTGAATTGACATAAGAGTACTCAACAAACTGTACATCCGTTCACAAACAGACAAGACATCACTGGTGATTCTGTGGGTGACACAGAGATAAATTGGACTTCATCTGGAGAACCAGGACACACTTGGATAAAATTGCAGCTGGACATCGATCCACGAAGTGACGAAAAAGCAGGTACAACATATGTGTACATGTATCTAAGTAACACTAAGTGAATATTTCCAAAGTAAATTTTGATTCTTAGTTGACTTTGGACAGCTTAAGCACTTGCATTTTATGTATAAAATGTTCTTCACTAATTTCAAAGCGGTATTCCTGCTATTTCATCTGCTACTGTACAGCTCTAAGGCGAGAGCTCAATCGTGTCAGGCAGATATCACTAGTGACAAGGACCAGCACAGTGCGTGCCCCAAAGGATGGGTATCCTATCACAACGTCAGCTGTTACCTGTACGTGGAAGCTACGCAATCCCACCAGGATGCTGAGGCCTACTGCCAGGGTCTCTCCAAGCCCTGGGGGCCCGTTCACCTCACCTCCATAGGCAACATGGAGGAGAACAAGTTCATCAAGGACACCAATCCGTGGCCAGTGGGGATTTTCAACAGTCAGTGGATTGGCTACATGCTGAGCCCAGCATCGGGACATTACGTTTGGACAGATGGGAGCCCAGGCAGCTACGAAAATTGGTTCCTGCGACAGCCCAGTCAGGGCCCAAAGGAGCACTGCGTCACCATGTTCAGCCTGTCTGGTACCTGGAATGACGATGACTGTACCAAGGAGTACAAATCCATCTGTAAAATGTCCCTGCAAGTTTCTCGCCTTCACATTTGAGGCAAACTACCTGCAAATCTTTCAAAAGTCGGTGATGACGCTCTCCATAATATGAGATGCGACAAGCTAACAACACTGAGTTCTTCAGGAATTGAACAGTAGAGAAAGCTCTCCACAGCAAGACCAAAACCACAAGTGGGTCATGGAGCTGGTGACAACTGATAGCACGGTTTTACCAATGAAATGAGTGAGGTTAACAGTAGAGGATGTCACAACAATGCCAACAGTAAATTCCTAACACTGCACCACTCCCCATGCAAGTCCCGTCCTGATCAAGTAGACATTATTAGGAAAGTCGTTTGGCACGTTCCTTCCTGAGGCCTATTGTCAGGCTAAAGTCTGATGTTTCCATCCATCACAGTGACTTTTAATCCAACTTCCCTGTTTTATTGACAAAAAGACAAAGTGGTGAATGCAGTTAGCCACGATGGTTTGCCTTGTCATGGAAAACAAGTAAGCCACCAACTCTTTCCAAAAGGATCATGCTGTGATTTTTCACTTTAGACTATACACCACGTCAGGGACAACCAGTGTGTGGAAGGCACCAGTTATAGAATGTTTGACGGATTTGACTGCTGCTTTATACAAAACAAAGCAACATTGATTGCTTCTACATCTTTAGATTGACAAGGAAGTTGATATCAGTTTAGCATAAGCCGTAATTTGCCATACATCAGGAACCATTTCAAAAAAGTGCAATGAACCATAACGAGACACAGAGGCTTCATGTACACTTTAAACTGATGTGCTCCTACAGAGGAAATCTAGAACTGTAATGTTGGATGTCAAGCTCTGGAATTCTTGTGCTGTTGGCAGCCAGATGCACTTTACACACTGTAAACTCCAGAAAAATCTAAAATTCTTATTCGCGCTCTTGAATTCCTGATGCGAGGGGCAGCAAATGTGCTCATGTAGAGGGGACTCTTTTCACTTAGTTATTTTTGCTTTACCTGCTTGTGTATAGGAGTTGTCCCCCTGCTCTTAACATTGAA